GCTCTTTATGTTTTGCATGCCATAGCGGTTAGACCATTGACCACGCGTCCTCGGGAGGATGGAGCACTGTTCCCACAGGACCGATCACCGATGACCAATCGTTCCTTTCTACTTTGTCAAAGATGGCTCAAGAATGTCTTCTGTCTATCCTAACGATATCCCTTCCTTCCTTTTCAACCCACCTCCTATGCCCAGTACAGCTACCGTCCGTTCCTCTCTAAACACCGGGGGGGGCGGCTTGTTTTACAGCGTCGTTGCCAAGCAACGAAAACCCAACTCCGATGGCAAACACCGGGGGGGGGGGGGGGGGGGCCTTTGTGTCCGGAATATTTTTCGGCGTGTACCCTTGGGTGCCCCCGAAGTATGCTGTAGAAGTATTTTGTATTCTACATACAACAGTCCAACGGACACCTCTCACCTCGGAACTCCGTCCGCGCTGCCTTTTTGTGCTCATACTTCTTGCCGTCCAATGTGTGCAGTTTCCGCTGGAAGGCATCGTAGCTGGGGACACCAAAAACTCAACACCTTCATTCGCTGGCTGGTTGCGCAACTCGGCGTACCCTTGAGGTGGGCATGGGTGCATATGTATGTACTAGTTAGTATGGACCTTGGCTGTGCAGCGCTTCTTCTAGGAAACGGCCCGTTTAAGTCCTTTTTTTCTGTACCGAAAGTTGTTGAACGGTCAGGTCAGATGATGACATAATATCATACAGAACTGTAGCTAAAGCACAATTCATCGATTTTGATTGGGTGCCCCGCGATGGACTATTCGCCGCGTTTCGCGGGAACATTGCTTGTTCTGCTTGTACGTACGCGCGCGTATAGAGTGATGGAAGCAGGGATTTTGTGCAGGCATACTTGTGTAGCTCTCTTCCCGAACAGTCTTTTTTGCACTGGATACGTGCGAAGACCTCGTAGACTATATGTATATGTACATGAGGTCCCTCATCAGTCAACGCATACGGGTTGTCACAGCTGTTGTCTCCGTCTTCGTAACAACCCAATTCACGCAGCGCAGAAAATCTCTTCCATCCTCGTCTGTTCCCTCAACATCAGACTGGGAATTAGGCGTTGTCCACCTAGACTCTGCTTGCCGCTTTCTTCTTGCCCTAACCGTCTTCGAAAGGATGCAACAAGATTTATCACTCTACTTTTTGTGCGAATCTTCCATCTCTTCACTGCTCTTTACACCACCAAAAAAACAAAAACGAAAATCTCTTAGAGGTTCAGCACGGTTGCCCAAAGCAAGCTGCGATTGTAAGAAACAGATGCCGCAAAGTCACACAACAGGTAGTGGTGTTATTCGACAGACTCCCCGAGGTCCGGCAAAACATAACAGTCATAACTCCTCCATGAGACCGCGTTTGTGCTGGTGATCTATTGACCGCATTGCTGAACCCTACTGCTGCAAGCTCTCGGTCTTGGCAAAGCCTTGGCCAAAAAGAAAAGAAAAACGGACCATTGTACAGGCATACAGTGACGTCATCAAAGGCAGAACGATGTTTTGCTGACCCCAACGCTTGACGTTTTCGATCATTGACAAAAATGGCAACTGCCTAGCTGTTTGTCAACAGGGCCATGAAGGGAGAGCATCTATGGACCAGCTGCGCGTTTGCAACAGCTTGGCCAGTCACTGGTGGCAAACCAAGAATATCACTCAACAACGCCACGAGTCTTTCGGTGCTGGCGCACATACGCTGCCCACGACACGGCAATAGCAAACAATATTTTACAGTTCCACAGGCCTGTATACCGGCGCCAGATTTGATGGGACGAACCTACACACGCCCTGTTGTTATCAACTCTTAATCGCAAGTTTGGGGAATAGTCCTTGGTGCTGACCCCATACTACTGGTGGCAACATTTCATCTCTAGCACTGAAAACGCAGCCGCAGCAAGTAGTAAAGGCTAACACCAACTCTCACATGGGCGTCATGTTCGCGATTAAAACCGAGGCAAGGCAGGCCTCTTCTTGTTAACCTCCTGCAAAGGAAGTGTGCCGCATTGTACCTAAGCGAACGCACGACAATGGTTCCGAGGTGATACCACGCGACTCGAGAAAGAAAACTTCACGGCATAGACTAGACTATCTCTCTAAGGATAGCAGGATATGGCCCTCTTTCTTACCCACTGCGAGAAATTACTCATGTCATGCAAGTAGAGAGAATAAGTCTCACGTCGATCGAGGAAACGCGGCAGCAATGACGACATCGGGAGGATGGACCAAGGGGGGCAGAAGAAGGGAAATACTACAAGAAAGAAAGAAGCAACGATTTGAACGCTTCGATTCCTGGGACCTCACCAGCCCACAACGCCCTATCGCGACCTATTGCGACGTTTAAATCAACACCTCATCTAGACATACAACCAACCGGTGATTCCTCGAAATGTTTACCAACCAATCAGGGCGGTGGTATTCCACGCCTCATGATGGTGTGGAGTAACGGAACACACTCTGGGCTGCCCGCCGTTTGCAGAGTCTACCCGACAAAAACCTAACGCGCAAAAAAACAATACGTAGTCTACGTTGTCCTTACAGCAAATGCGGCACTCGATCACGTTAGCGCAGTACTGCAGGTGTTCTTGCACAAACGGCGGTGTGCAAGGCGATACTCGACGGACTGATAAAAAAAAAGCTTGGTTCACAGTAGTGCATCAACGCTAAGGCTCAACTTTCACCGGATGAAAAATCCTCAGCCGCGTGCCCCCCTGTCACACACGAAAGGTGGTTGGATCTCTCTCTCTCTCTCTCTCTCTCTCTCTCTCTCTCTCTCTCTAACCCTTGCCCCCGCATCCCCTGCCTTTCTGTCCCCCCCCAACCCCGTCTCTCTCCCAGCCTGCCTACGTGCTAGCGTTAGACAGAGGCAGAATACTCTCCGGCCATCAGCTCGCGTAGTCACCAGCCGCAACAGCGGCCGCGCTCGAACGCCACTCCTCACGTCCTTCGGGGTCCTCCTGCCCGCTCTGTGCTCTTCGAAACGCCCTCACCACGGGAGACCCCAGGCAGTACAGTATGCTCAGCAGAAGGAGGACACCGGCGGCGCCAGTTGCTCTGGTGGACTCTGTGTCGCTCGTGTCGGCGTTCGAGAACAGCTGTGCAGTGTGCGGGGGAACGGGTGAGGTGGTCACCGTCACTATCGGACGTAGTCGAAGCGCACTTCGGTAATATGTCGCATGCACCCAACTCATGGACGAGTTGAGCGGGTTCTCGACTGCTAGCCGGCGTTCTCGTTCATCGGTTATCTTGATTGGTGTAGTGTTGCTTCTCGCCCAACAGCAATTCTCGCCATAACCGCCGACCGCCACATGCTGCTCGTCTCACCGTCGCCCTTGCCTGTCTCTGAGTCTTTCAAAACGAATGCGATCGTGGGCATGACGATTCACAACATCTACGGAAATAATTCAGCCCATTTACCGCGTCATGATTCTTCCGCTTCCCAAACAATACAACTCAATGTTCTAGAGGGGACCGCCTTCGCGAGATTAACAAGGTCGGAATACAACAAGGGGGGGGAACGCAGACCCTATTCCTTAATCCTAACCCTGACCCAACTCCCCCGACTGTATGCTTTATCCAACATGTGTACTGAACCGAAAAACCCTGCGTAGGCCACTGTCTAGAGGGTGTGTGAATGTGTCCTCTAGAAGGTGCATACACGATCCCAGAACAAAAGGAAGGGGGGGAGTGGAGGTAAGATCTATACACGTAGAGTGGTCCCTCCCTTTCGGCCGCCTTCAACAACCAAGACTCCATGTAACGCGAATCACCTCGGGTGACCTCAGAGTGACGAGGGTGTACTCGGTGGTTGACAAGAGACGCATGCGAGGACCCCAGCCCACTGCACCCTCCGACACGTAAAGGAACGTGTCTCTCTTCTTGTGCAGGCCCGAGACGTATCCCTGACAAAAACAAGAGAAAGAGCATGCACGTAGAGACGCTGTTTAGCGAGGTCTTCTTTGGTTGTGTGTGGATCGCATCGTGCCCAATGGTAGCGTGCGATGGTGGTTGCATCAATCCGTGGGTGATCCATCCGAATCAGAGAAATCAGAGAAGACGCAGAAAAGCTGAAACAAATGAGCTTTTCTGCAAACGCTACTGCATATGTCGCGCGCAGACGAGTGTCTCCACCTCGACTACTGGGACGTGCAATATCGAAACCCTTTGCCTATAGTCCCGAGCTCTGCACGAGCTACTCGCGACCAACCCTGTTGTCGCTGTACCCTACCAGTCACGAACACCAACCCCTGCGGATATGAACGCGGCAAATACCAACGAAAACCCTCGCAACTTCGTCCTGCGAGAGACGAGGAAACTTGTCGGGTGACGTGAGTATTGAGAAAATCTCCAATATACTGCTGTACAATGTACCTGGTTCAGGTAGGCCAGAACGTGGTAAGGGAAGACCTGCCCTCCGTGTGTGTGACCGGAGAGCTGCAGGCCCACCGAGCTGTACTTGGAGGCCTCTTTCACCTAACAAGGGCAAGGTCACGTCGTGGCACGGATTGTAGGGATGTTGCCGGGGGTACACTAGGATAAGGGTTTAGGATGGAGGCATGGTAGTGTTCGAGTGGTGTTGAACGTCCCTCTATCACCGAATTCAACCCCAACACGAAGAAGCAGGATGATGGCACCAACATGGTTAGGACTTAAATTCGGGTGATACTGACGTTATCCTTCCCTCTTTCGCCTTGGTAGTTAGGACTTAAATTCGGGTGATACTGACGTTATCCTTCCCTCTTTCGCCTTGGTAGCCTGTGAGTTGCGTGTGACGTCATCATTGACGTCATCATTAGATGACATAAATGGTCGGCACGGACGGTATCCAGACGATACAATGCTCAGCTGACTCGAAGTCCCCGTCCCACATGGCACGAAAACATATACTTCTACTAAAACAGGGGGACACATGGCACAAAGAATATGACAGGGGGTCTGCGAGGCTATCAACAATAGTCAATCTCGGTCAGTCAGGCTCGCCGCAAAAGACACGCCGAGCCTGCCGAAGGACATAGCGCTGCTGAAGGGGAGCATGCGATAGAGAATGAATGAAAGAAACACACGTCGCTCTGTCTCTCTCTCTCTCTCTCTCTCTCTCTCTCTCTCTCTCTCTCTCTCTCTCTCTCTCTCTCCCACCCATCGCCAACATC